ATCCCTCATTACTTGGACACGGAAGCCATTAAAGTCATTGAAGGTGGAGCTGCTGTTGCCGAACAGCTACTGGAGCTTCGTTGGGATAAAATATTCTTCACAGGTTTCTTGTCATATATATGACTAACTGTACTTAATAATAATAATAATAAAAATAATAATAATAATAAGAACAATAATAATAATATCAAATTATTTCCATTCCAAATGGAAGTGACTACCGTTTTAATTTCTTAAAATGTGAATTGAGGCTTTCTTAATTTGCTGTTCCAGGGAGTCCCCGAGTAGGGCGTATAGTCATGTCTGCAGCAGCAAAGCATTTGACTCCCGTGACTCTTGAACTGGGTGGAAAATGCCCAGTCATTCTCGACTCTTTCTCTGGCTCAGACTTACAGGTTAATAGTTGTATACTCGTCATTATCAAATCAGTCTTTCCGTTTTCCTGCATGAGCTGAAAAATTATGTTTCCGGTGTCACATCCATGCATATTTATCACCCTTTTCTTTGTAATAGTTACATTATGTCCCATAGGTTTGTCCTAATTAGAGAAAATACACTTGTATTTTGAAATTTCAGATGCCCTGTTGAAGTTTCACATGTCTTCCCAAGAATTGGAATTTATTGAGTAGAAACAACAAACAAGCCGCAATGCCATATCCTCTAGTTATGCAAATATATGAAATTCTTTGTAATTAGATTATATCTCAATGGTAATGTACTAATATTTATGATATCCTTAATTAAGTTAGTTAGACACAATTTTAGCTCTAGAAATGTGTCTCAAAATACTTGTCGTTGGAAGTATTAAAGACTTTATTTTACATCTTCTCTAATTTGCCCTTACTAACTCTTCTTCAACTATATAGTTTACTATGACTTGTATTCAAAAAACATTCGTCACATATACTCAAATAAGGGGAGCCATTAGGAAATTTCATAATTTGTGAGGAATTTTCTAAAAGGACAAGTAGTTTTGGACGGAAGGAGTTTTCACCCCTTTTTGTTCTCTTTGTATGTTGGTGGTGCCACAAAAAAGTTGCTAAGAGCTTTGTGACACACAAAGCCATTTTATTCATGGTCTGCTTGTGTAAGCTTTTTTAGGTGGCTGTAAAGAGAATAGCTGGTGGGAAGTGGGGACCGTGTGCTGGACAGGCATGCATAGGGATTGACTATGTGCTCGTGCAAAAAGATCTTGTTCCTCTTCTGGTATTAGTCAAAATCTTCTAGTCAACCTTTTGCAGCATATTTTCTTGTAAAAACGAGCTGAAATTCAATTTTAACAACAAATTTTGCTTCAGGTTAATGCATTGACAAGCTGTATCAAAAGATTTTACGGCGAGAGTGCGAAAAACTTGAACAATATTTGCAGAATTGTGAACAAGAATCACTATGATCGGATATGCAATCTTCTTGATGAACCTGGTGTGGCAGCTTCCATTGTCTATGATGGTTCAATGGACTCTGAAAATTTGTTGGTTCTCTTAATCCTATCATTTCTAACTTCTGTTTTACGTAAGCTTAGTTTGAATCAGAATGTTGAATTTTTTGCAGGGTTATCGGTCCCACGATTTTAGTGGATCCTCCTCTTGAAGCTCAGATTATGACGGAAGAAATATTCGGGCCATTGCTTCCCATCATTACAGTAAAATTTACTCATTCCTATCAAATGTAGATGATAATTTACTTTGCAAGGTTGATTACAAAAATGTCCTTTAGGGTGTCATTTAACTATTTTTTATTCATTAAAAAATGAAGAAATAGGGAAAAGGAAACTCATTGTTCTTTCATAATGTACATACTTTGTTGATGTGGTTCCTATTTTACTAACACTTTTGCAAGAGGGTGTGTGAACACCTGTTGGGTCTTGTATTTGAAATTTTTATTGGTGTGATTCGCAAGTCTGATATTTGTTAACCTTTTTCGAACTTCGGTTTCTGATAAATGATTCTTGCTGGGCTGCAGCTCGATAAGATCGAAGACAGTATCGATTTCATCAACGAGAGACCAAAGCCATTAGCCATTTATGCATTCACCAAGAACAAAAAACTCAAGGATCGAATTTTGCAAGAAACATCATCTGGGAATGTAACATTCAATGATACCATTATTCAGGTATGCCCAGATTCTTCTATTTTTTCTTGGGGGTTGATTACCAAAATACCATCAGGTTTACATTAGTTATAAAAAAACCCATCAATCCCTTAAAACTACTATCAACTCCTAAAATCTCAATGCATATTTCAATTGAAGTGTATCAGTAAATTAGAGAAATAGCTTGATTTTTCCGTGTTTAGGCTACTTTTTTCTCCATTTCTTCTATATGGTTTTTCATATATTTGGATGCCAGTTTATATGTGACTCACTGCCGTTTGGAGGTGTCGGTCAAAGTGGTTTTGGAAGGTACCATGGGAAGTACTCGTTCGATACTTTCAGCCATGAGAAAGCGGTTCTGCATAGAAGCTTTTTTCCGGAGCTCGAGCCGAGGTATCCTCCATGGAATGCTTTTAAGCTGGAGTTTATAAGATTGGCTTACAACTTTGATTATGTTGGCCTGTTGCTTCTTTTATTGGGTTTGAGGAGAATATTTACGCGAAATCGGTCTCATTAGGAGAATATTGGTCGAAAGCCGAGTGAAAAAATCTATTCTGTAATGTTGGCTAGTAGTAAGTGTTCTCCCTTCTCTATGTTCACTTTTCTTGAGAGCTATGTTCTCAAATTAGGGCATAAGGAGCCCTTTGGCCACCAAAAAGTTTGTTAACTAAGCTTACTAGAAACTTTGTTTGCATTTGATCAGTGTATTGTTGTGATATATAAAACTTTGTTTGCTTATTAGAAGCACGTTGAGATATAATAAGTTTGATCAGTGTATGTGGCATGCACACATTCGTTACTTCAGTTGGTATTAGCAGACCAGTATAGGTCTGCATGATTCATACGCCATGTTGTTCAAGAGGATCGACGCTGCGAACGATATGCGCAAAGCCGAGAACGTGATGGTGGGCTGCCAATTCGAGT